TGATTTCTTCCTTTCTTATCTGGAGTCCCTTAATATCTTTTTCTTGCCTATCTGCTATTGCAAGTACTTCCAGTACTATACTGAACAGAAGTGGCGAGAGTGGGCATCCTTTTCTTGTTCCTGATCTTATAGGGAAGGCCTGTAGTTTTTCTCCATTGAGTATAATGCTTGCCATAGGTTTGTCATAGATGGCTTTGATTATATTGAGGAAAGTTCCTTCTAAGCCCATTTTGGTGAGAGTTTTTATCATAAACTGGTGCTGGATCTTGTCAAATGCTTTCTTTGCATCTATTGATATGATCATATGGTTTTATCTTTACTTTTGTTGATATGATGGTTTATGTTGATTGATTTCCAAATGTTAAGCAATCCTTGCATTCCTGAGATGAATCCCTCTTGGTCATGGTGTATGATCTTTTTGATGAGTTGTTGGATTCTATTTGCTGATATTTTGTTGAGGATCTTCACATCCGTGTTCATCAGAGGTATTGGCCTGTAATTTTCTTTGTTAATGGTGTCTTTGTTTGCTTTTGATATTAGGGAGATACATACCATATAAAACTGTTTAGTAGAGTTCCTGTTTTTTTTTTCATTTTTCTGGAAAAGCTTGAGAAGAACTGGAAACAGGTCTTCTTTAAATGTTTGGAAGCATTTGCTAGTGAATCATCTGGGCCTGGTCTTTTGTCTTTGGGAAGACTTTTGATTACAGTTTCGATTTCCTTGATAGAAATGGGTCTATTCAGGTATTCCAAATCTTCTTGACTCAGTCTTGGGAGATTGTAGGAATCCAGGAATTTATCCATTTCTTATAGGTTCTGTTGTTTCTTGGCATACAGACTCTCAAAGTAGTCTCTGATGATCTTTTGAATTTCATTCGTTTCTGTTGTTATGTCACCTTTTCCATTTCTGATTCAGTTTATTAAGGTTTTATCTCTCTCTTTGTGAGTCTTAGTGGCTTATCAATCTTGTTTATTTTCTCAAAGAACAAGCTCTTGGTTTCATTGACCTTTCAGATTGTTTTTTGGATTTCCATGTTATTAATTTCTGCTCTAAGTTTTATTATTTCTTTCCTTTGTCTGGGTTTGGATTCCTACTATTGGTCTTTTTCTAAGATCTTTAGTTGTGAAGTCAAGTTATCCATGTGGGCCCTTTCTTCCTTCCTGAGGAATGCTTGTAAAGCTATGAATTTTCCTCTTAACACGGCTTTAACTGTGTCCCATAGGTTCTAGTAGCTTGTGTCTTCATTCTCATTTGTTTCCAGGTATCTTTTGATTTCATCCTAGACTTCCTTCCTGACCCACTCGTTCAACATTGAGTTGTTTAATTTCCAGGTGTTTGATTTGGTTCTCTGTGTCTTTGTGTGATTCGCTTCTATCTTCATAGAAGATAGCGCATCATGGCCTAAAAAGATAGTTGATACAATTTCTATCTTCCTGATTCTATTGAGGTATGCTTTGTGACCCAACACGTGGTCTATTTTAGAGAATGTTCCTTGTGCACTGGAAAAGAATGTGTATTCTTTCTTTTGAGGGTGTAAAGACTTGTATAGGTCTGTTAGCCCTCTCTTTTCTATTTCTTCCTTCAAAGCCAGTGTTTCCTTTCTAAGTTTTGTTCTTGTTGATCTATCCAGAGGTGATAAGGTGATGTTGAAGTCTCTGACTACTATTGTATTGCTGGCAATGTCCTCCTTAAAATCTATTAGCAGTTGTTTAAGTATTTAGCTGGTCCCTCATTAGGTGCATATACATTTAAGAGTATGATTTCTTCCTGTTGTACATATCCCTTGATAAATAGAAAATGGCCTTCACTGTCCCTTCAAATGTTTTTCAACCTGAAATCTATGTTGTTGGTCTCTAGTATGACCACCCCAGCTTTTTTGAGGAGTTGTTTGCTTGCAGGATTGTTTTCTGTCCTTTAACTTTGAGTCTGTGTTTGCTCTGACTCTTCAGATGACTTTCTTCTAGGCAGAATAATGTTGGTTTCAGTTTCTGGGTCCATTTGCTAGGCTGTGTCTCTTGATTAGTGCATTTAGATCATTGACATTGAGAGAGATTATTGTTATGGGATTTTGTGCCATCTTTCTGGAAGGGTTTGTTGTGCTTATGGGTGTTTTCCTTCTTGAATTACAGTAGCCCTTTTAGTACTTCATTTAGGTTTGATTTTGAGTCTACGGAGTTCCTGAGTTGTTGTTTATCTATAAAATGGTGTATCATTTTATTGAGTTTGAATGAGAGCTTAGCTGGATAAAGTATTCTTGGTGAGGCGTTCATTTCATTGAGTTTTTTCCACTATATCCCACTATTGTCTTTGGGCTTGGTGGGTTTCCTCTGATAGGTCAGCTGTAAATCTAAGGGGTGCTCCTTTGTATGTGATTTCCTTCTTTGACCTTGCTGCTAGCAGTATTATGTCTCTATCCACAGCATCTATTATTCTATGATATGCCTTGGAGTGTTTTTAGTAGGTTGTCTTTTAGCTGGCACCCTTCTGGCTCCTTGTATCCAGAAGTCTGCATTCTTTACCTCTGGGAACTTTTCAGCAGTGATTTCTTTCACTGTGGCTTTTTCATTGGGGTTGCCTCCCTGTCCTTCTGGTACTCAGATGATTCTAATGTTGTTCCTCTTGGAGTCATCCCCTAGTTCTCTGATTCACCTTAGAGCTCTTTTTTTTAAAATTTTTTATTAGTGGAAACACCATGAGGTACAGTTATAGACTTATAAATTTTTGTGCTTGGGTTTCAGTTATACAATGATCAAGTACCCATCCCTCCACCAGTGCCCATCCTCCACCACCACGGGTCCCAGCATCCCCCCCACCCCCCATCCCCCGTCCCACCCTGCCTCTGTGGCAGGGCATTCCCCCTTGTTCTCTCTCTCTTCTTTTGGGTACTGTGTTTTGCAAGAGAGGCATTGAGTGGCAATCATGTTTGGTCTATAGAATACTTTTAGCATGCTTCTCCCACCCTGGGAGGGTCCTCACAACACCCCTTATTTGATGCCACCTTAGAGCTCTTTTGAGGTCTTTTCCCATTGTTTGTTGTTGACTGTACGATTTCTGTTGCTCATCTTCAAGATCACTAATTCTGTCTTCAGCTGTAGTAATGCTACTGCGGAGGGCACCCACTGAGTTTTTAATTTCATCTTTTGAATCCTTTATTTGTGACACTTCTTTTTGAAGCTTTCTTATTTCTCATTTCTTCCTGTATTTTCTCGACTATCCATTCCACTGTTTCTTTCATTTCTTCCTTGAATTTTCTGGATGCCTGCTCCATTAATTCTTTGAGTAGTTCCTTGAACATCCTCAACATTTCATCTAGGAATTCTTTATCGGAGAGATCGTATTTGTGGGTAAGCCCTGTTGGAGGTTTGGGACTCTTTTCTTCGCTCTCTCCTCGTAGTGCTCTTTCCTCATGCTATTATGATTGTATAGAGGTAAAACCTTGAAGTTCACTAGCACTGTTCCCTCTTATTGCAGGAAATGATTCTGAATAAGGTTGGTTGATGGTGGTCACCTTCTCCCCTTCTAGAATATGTACTTCCTCTTAGACATTAATCTGTGGCTTATGATAGGCATCTAGTAAAGCATTAGAGGAGGTGCTCTTTTATATTGGGCTTGTCCAGTTTCTTGCATACTGGTCTTTTGTTGGAGTTGGAGTAGGCCAGTGGATTATTGTCAGATTGAGGCGGTGAGAACTTTTTCCAAAGAATTAGGTATTAAATGTTGGGATGTGAGTTGAGAGGGCTGGGAGTGGTAAATATAACTGTGGCTCCCACCTCAGAAAAGGTCACGCCCACTTTGAGGAGGCCACGCCCCTAGAGTGGAGGTCCCCAGTGGGTCGTGATGCTAGTCTACAGACCTGGGCCCAAGGGCCTGTGCAGAGGAAAGGTGGGGCTGTGTGGGTGAGTGTGTGGCGGAACTCCACAGAGTGCCCTCAGGGAGCTGTCTGGGTGGCAGGCAATGGGGAGCACTACTTTTAAATTTTTTTAAATATCACTTTACTGTATTATTTGAAGTCAGGAAATGCAGTACTACCCATCTTTTTATTTTCTTCAGAATTACTGTCTATTTTGCTATTTTGCTGGGGTTTTTTTAATCCTTCTCAGAGCTATTACATTTTTGTTTGTATTTTGGGTTTTTTGTTATGGTTTTTTGCTTTTTTGCTTGAGGGGGGCCAGATCATATATTTAAAGGAATCTATTGGATTCTATAGCTCTAATTTCATAATCGCACAGCAGTGTGAGTGCCTGGCAAGCTACCCGTGCCAGACACTCACAGTATTCGATATGCCAGAAACAGTAATAATAATGGGCCTCATTCCCTGACCCTGAAAGAACCTCCAATACGAAATCCTTGGGAAGGTTGAGTAAGAAGAGGCTGCTAAAATCTCAGGGCTGGTACTCAATGTCTCTTTTGCAAACCACAGCACTCAAAAGGAGAGATAACAAAAGGGAATGCCCTCCACAGAGGTAGGGTGGGATGGGGGGAAGGGAGGTGGGAGGGATACTGGGACTGGTGGTGGTGGAGAATGGGCACTGGTGGAGGGATGGGTATTTGATCATTGTATAACTGAAACCCAAGCACAAAAATTTGTAAGTCTACAACTGTACCTCATGGTGTTTCACTAATAAAAATTTAAGGAAAAAAATTAAAAAAAAAATCTCAGGGCTGGGATGAATGGAGACATTACTGGTGCCCACTCGAGCAAATTGATGAACAACAGGATGAACAGTGATACAAGTGATACAAGTGAATTTCGTAATAGGAACAAAACAAATGTGTTTATTGTCCTTTTTTTTCCACGTTCCAGCGTGTAGCAGATTCTTCAATGTCTGGTTTGCCATAGTGTTGGTTATTTAAGGTTTCTGATAAATTCCAACATTGTATTTTTTCTTGCTAGAAATTTCTGCTGCTACTGTTGCTATTTTTCTAGTCTCACTGTAAATAAAAATGAGAAATAGGCATGAGACCATGTTCCTAATTTCTTTCCAATTGTTTCTCTTTAGGGCAGAGAAGACAGAAGTTTTAAGTGAAGATCTTCTTCAGGTAAGGTTGTTACTGCCCTTAAACTTGACACCAAAACATCTTCCCATTTTAACATTGAGCCATTCCAATGCTATTTAAACTGCTCTACATACAACCTTTAGCAACTTCATTTTGTTGTTGGTGGTGATTTTGGGGCCATATCTGTCAGTGCTCAGGCTTACTGTTGCCTCTGCACTGAGGAGTCACTCCTGGCTGGGCTTCGCGAGACTGTATGTGATGTGGAGGGTCCAGCTCAGGTCAGATCAGGCAGGACAAGGCCCTTTTGTGCTATCCTATCCCTCGTCCCTAGCAGTTCATTTAATCAGACTAATTCAAGTGGCAGTGTGGGTCAGTCTTTGTGATGGTCACTCAGCTGATACACCCTTTCCTCTGACCCTTGCCCTCCCCCCTAATGGAGCCCACTCCTCTTCCTGCAGGTGGAGAAGCGGCTGGAACTAGTGAAGCAGGTGTCACATAGCACACACAAGAAGCTCACTGCGTGTCTCCAAGGCCAGCAAGGGGCAGAGGCGGACAAACGATCTGTAAGTGCCCCTGAGCCAGCATCTGTTGAACTAGACCCACTCCTGAGCCGTATTTGCTGTTTCTGCATAAAGAGCCAATTCTCTGTTGAGAATCACTGATCAGTGTTTCTGCAGGGTGGCGGTCTTTCCTGCTCTCTGTCCTTTAAACCTGCCTGGACCTAACTTTTTTCTCATCAGGGCCAGTGTGGCTGCTCTTCATATTTCCCCTAGACTTAGGCATTTGGGAAGGTTGCTGGAGTTGCTGGGGATTGCAAAGTTGGGAAAGCTTGAACTTTTCTTTTATCCCTGCAATAGCTCGTTCAGAGATTTAATTTGTCTCAGTAGTGTGTTAAGATGTAGTGGAAGAAATTATAATGTGGTTCTAGATATTAAGAAGGACCTATAAATTTGCAGTTGAATTCTTGTCTCCAATGGAGACATTACAAGCAAATTGATGATCAGCGGGAGGGCCTTTACCTTTACCTTTACCAAACTATAATATAAAACTATAGTAATCAAAACATTAATATTAAAGTACAGCATATCCTCAGGCCAATGGAAGTGTTTCACTGTCACTGTCCTCCCGTTGTTCATCGATTTGCTCAAGTGGGCCCAGTAACGTCTCCATTGTGAGACTTCTTGTTACTGTGTTTGGCATATTGAATACTCTCGGTAGCTTGCCAGGCTCTCCGAGAGGGGTGGAGGAATCGAACCTGGCTCGGCCGGGCTGGCTCCGCACAAGGCAAAGGCCCTACCGCTGTGCTATTCCTCTGCCCGCGCAGAGTAGGGCTGGAGCGATAGCACAGCGGTAGGGCATTTGCCTTGCACACAGCCAACATGGCCAACCCGAGTTCGTTTCCTCCGCCCCTCTCAGAGAGCCCGGCAAGCTACCGAGAGTATCTCGCCTGCATGGCAGAGTCTGGCAAGCTACCCGTGATGTATTCGATATGCCAAACACAGTAACAACAAAGTCTCCAATGGAGACGTTACTGGGCCCACTCGAGCAAATCAATGAACAATGGGAGGACAGTGATTCAGTTGGCTTCTGGCACATGGAATAGAGTTTAGAGTGCAGAAATAAATCCACAGATATAGGGATAGTTTATTTACAGTGAAGGAGCCAAGAGCATAAAAGAGAAAAAGGACAGACAAATGGTGTTTGGAAAACTGGTTAGCCCCATTCAAAAATATGAATTTGAATAACTATCTCAAACCATGTGCAAAAGTGAACTAAAAATGGTTTAAAGACTTGCATGTTATATGCAAATCTATAAATTACATAGAAGAAAGCTTAGGTAATATACTCAATGATTTGCTTTGGAGACATTTTCATTGATTGTACTTCAGTGACAAGAAAAACACAATAACAAGACCAAATGGGACTATATCAAATTTAAAAGTTCAGCACTGCAAGAGAAACTACCATGGAAACAAGAAGACATCTACTGGATGGGAAGTTCATTCACCATGACAAAGGGCTAACATATAAAGCATAGAAAATACTCAAAGCATTCAACAGCAGCAACAGATTAAACCACCCTGTAACATGGGTGGGGGGCCGATGTGTAGAGATGAACATTTGCTTCTCCAAAGAAGACATACAGATGACCAGCAGATACATAAAAGTTTTTTCATAACCTCTGATCAGAGAAATTTAAGTTAAAACAATGAGCTGTTACCTCACTCCTCAAAAGTACTTGTATAAAAATCATTAGAAACTACAAGTGCAAGTAGTGGAGATATGTTAGACGCATAAATTATTACTCCTTCTGTGAAAAACACTATTGTGGTTTTTCAAAAACATAAAATTCAGAGCTGCTTTGTGATGCAGCACTTCCACTTCTAGGTATCTAGCAGACAAAACAGAGACAGATACACATGTATCTTCTTTTATTTGCTTATTTATTTGTTTGTATCTTTTATTATTTTATTTGGGGTTTTGTTTCTTTGTTTGGGAGCCATACCAGAGTGCTTGGGAGTTATTCCTGGCTCTGCACTCAGGAATTATTCCTGGTGGTGCTTGAGGGACCATATGGGATGCTGGAGATCTAAGCCAGGTCAGCCACGTGTAAGGTACACACCCCACCTGCTGTACTGTCATTCTAACCCCTATAGTGTTATTTTCAATAGTCAAAATTTTGAAACTGCCTATATATCCAATGAGTAGATAAGGAAATATATATGTGTGTATACACGTATATTTTATACACACAAATATGTGTATAATGAAATCCTAAACTATGAAAATGATAAAATCTTGCATTTTGCTACAATAGAAACTAAAAGTTAGCATCTTAAGTGAAATAAGTCAGCAAGAGAAATGGAGAAATACTGCATTATTTCACTAATATGTTGTATGTGAAGAAATAGAACAAGGAAATAGACAATGTCTAATGGAAACAAGTCCTTAGACTAGAGGTAACAAGTTAATAAAAAAGGACCCTATATATGTACATATATATGTGTGTGTGTGTACATATATATATTTGTACAGATTTATATGTATGTCTAGTGATAGGGGGATATTGCCACTTTGGTGGTATGTGTCATTGTACACTGGCTGATTGTAAATCAATGACATTGTATACCTAAAATTTAGAAACATTTACTCATGTAACCATTATCTCAATAGATAGAACTATAGGAACTGTAGTATTTTAAGGTACTGTAGGAAAAATACATAGCAAAGAACATAGAGACTTTTAGAATGATGCTGAGGTAGGTGGAGTGATAGCACAGCAGGATGGGATTAGCTTTGCATGCGGTGTGGCTGACCCAGGTTTAATCCCTGGTACCCCTTGTGGTTCCCCGGGTCTTTGGGGAATGATACCTAAGCACCAAGCCAGGAGTAACCCCTGAGAATTACTGGGTGTAGCCTAGAACAAAACAAAGCAAAGCAAACAAACAAAATATTAGTAATCTCATATCAATTAGATTGACTATTTACAAATTTTGTAACATTCTGTGTTTTATTTCCTAATTGTTAACCGTATGGTCATACTCTAGAATCAGGGGAAAGTTTATTTTAATAGAGTTTTGATTTGAAAAGTCAGTTGCAAGCATGAGGCTTGCTAAATAAGATAGCTGCTATATTTATCCACCTTCCGTGACTACTAATACTCACCTCAGTATTAGGTGATTATCAGCTAGATTCTTGGTACTGAAAGAAAACAAGTTGCATGAGGGGGCCAGAGTGATAGTAACAGTGTGTAGGGTCTTTTCCTTGCATGCAGCCGACCTGGGTTTGATCCCCAGCATCCATTATGGTCCCTTGGGCATCACTGGTGTGAATCAAAAAGCTCCTCCACCCCCAGTCCCTCCCGTTCCCCCCAAAAGGAAACAAATTACATGAGCTTTCAAAGCTTTTGAGCAACTGACTCTATGACTCAATATCATATTTTGTTTGTTTGCGTTGGGGCCATGCCTGGTACTCTGTTGTCACTCCTGGTGGGACTTGGGGGTCCCTATGATGTATCAGGGATTGAACCTTGCTTGGTCACATTCGATGCAAATGACCTACCTACTGTACTATTTCTCTGGCCCCTCTATAGATGACAGTCTTAAGGGTGGAGAGAGGACTAGGAATGCCCCCAGGAGTGCTTTGGTACTATTTCTGAGTCAGTGTTCACGAGTTGCTCCTGGCTATACTCAGGAGACCATGTGCTGTTGGGGATTGAGCCTGGGACTTTCACATTCCAAGCACAAATTCTGAGCTATTTTTCCTTGTTTTCAGAATCTTTATAACTTGAAGTGAAAGTGAGCAGAGTTGAGAAGAGAGTCAAGAGTATTTATATTATAGTCAGTAAATTCAGTACGGTTGGTACAGTGTCTAGAATATACTTAATCTTTCATTTTCCTATCTCTCAGTTTCTTTAGAAACATAAATAATTTCAATCAATTATAGATGAAAATTGATAACTTCTGTTTTAATGCTTTTGACTTAGATTGTTGCTGTCTTGTTTTTATTTGAAGGTATACCAACTCAATACATTTACTCCTTTTTAGTTTAGTGGCTTCCTTCTAATTTTTTTATTCCTATCACACAAATAAAAATCATGATTTCTAAGAAGACTTGTTATCAATTCCACACTGCCTTCCACCCCATTCTTAGAATTCAAGCTCTTGCACTGTCCTGTAGTGAATTCTTCCCTGTAAGAGCTACTACCTCCACAGAAAAGCTCCCATTGGTGACAGCTGCATCATCAAGAGACTTCTTTAAATAAATTGTGTCATATTTATTTAGTAATCTATTAAATATTGGACAGCTTTATGTATCATCTATTTGAGAAAAGAAAGCAAGAATAGAGTTGTATAGGTTTTAAAATATTTTTCTGAAAAAATATTTTGTTTGTTTGCCTTGGGGCCATGCCTGGTACTCTGTTGTCACTCCTGGTGGGACTTGGGGGACCCTGTGATGTACCAGGGATTGAACCTTGCTTGGTCACATTCGATGCAAGTGACCTACCTACTGTACTATTTCTCTGGCCCCTCTATAGATGACAGAGTCATCTATACATATGGATACATATGCATATATATATATAATTGGTACTTATGATATCTACAACAAAATGGATACATACGCATATATATATAATTGGTACTTATGATATCTACAACAAAAAGACAGAAAACAGGTCACTTCCATGATTTCTGGTAATGGAAAATAAGCACGGCTAAGTATGGGAAGGGGGCACTTTGCTATAAATCTAGTATTTTTGAGTTTTATACCATATTTCCGATAAAAATAGTCACAGTTGACCCTTGTACAGTACAGAAATTAGGAGTACTGCTCTGTTGAGTAACATAAATCAGTTGGCACATCTGTTCTATGATTTATGTATTTTTACAGTGAAATAAAACATTACATGTTTATTATAATATCACTTGATCACTTGATATCCGGTCACTCATCTATTTGCTCAAGTGGGTGCCAATAATGTCTCCATTCATCCCTGTTGAATAGCCCAATGGCATCTGCTTGTTCTAGGAACATGAAGAGCCTCAAACTGATTGTTCAG